TGAGAGAGAGCCAAGGCCTGAAGTGAGGACGACAGGCAAGGGTCTAGACTGAAAATTTGGCCGCTAAGGGCCAAAACAATACGACTTTATTTCCAGTTGGAACTGTAAGTGAAAACTGAAGGTGGAAGAATGCATGAAAAGCCCCAATTTAAACCAATTATCTTTACTAACCACGGTGGTCCCATTATAAATTGTGTCATCTAATATTAACAAATCCACGACGCTTATTTTTTTTATTAAATGTCGTATTAACTTAATATACCATGGCATTAGTAGAGTACATAACGCCATGTAATTTTAAATATATCCACGTCAGTTTGACTTTATTATCAACCATGTCGGTTTATTTAAAACAAACACCGTATTAACTATCACGTCAGCAAAAGTAAACTTTTGTCGTGTAAAACTATAAATAACCACGTCAGTTTCGAAATTCTAAAAGTCGTTTGACTTTATTATTAACCACGTCAGTTTCTACTAGTTTTGCATCGTTTTAACGACAAGTAGGGCGGATTTTATAAAAACCGTCGTGTTATGGAACATCATCTTCCTGTATTTTGTGTCTCTGTATTGAAAACTGATATGAATTTGGTATAGCAAATATATTGAATCCAAAACCAAAACTCTCTCCTTTTCACTTTACCCCACCCACCTCATCAAATCCAACATAAAGGAGACTTTTCACCAACTAGGGTTATACTCACCATAAATTGGGATACCAATGATGTCTATTAACATGAAGACTTTGGTCTAGTGAGCCTACCCCATGTCGAGAATAGCACATTCCCATGCCATAAAGTCTAATAATATAAAGCAGATCTCATGACATAGACTCCAATAATATAAAGCCACTGATTTGACCATTTAGAAATGCAGACTTGACATCTAACTGGTATAGCTTCCAACCTTTCTGAGCTGCCAAAGCTAAGAGAGTTCTAATAGTATCTAGCCTGGCCATAGGAGCAAAAGTCTCCTTGAAGTCGATTCCAGGCTTTTGTGCATAGCATTTGACCACCAACCTAGCTTTGTGCTTTTGTATTGAGCCATCAAGATTCAATTTGGTTTTATAAACCCACTTAACACCAATTACAGACTTGGTCTGTCAACTAGCTCCCAAGTCTCATTCTTCTCAATCATTTCCATCTCGACTTCCATGGCTTGTTGCCAAGCTTTGTCCCTTGAGGCTTCTTCAAAAAAATTTGGCTCAATGATGCTCATATTGCATCGAGCATATATCTCAATTATATCTCTAAGCTTCACAGGAGTAGAACTTGGTGATTCACCTTGTGCGTCAGCATTAGAGGAACCTGAAATTATTTTAGTTACACCAGCGTCATCTTTAGTCTGAGATTCTAGTGCAAATGGAGTTGTAACATCATAATCTTCTTCAGTAACATTAGAATGCTCTCCAAAACTCATAGGAACTGTGACATGTTCCACATTCAGCTTCTCCCAATTCCATAAAGATCCTTCATCAAAGATCACACTTCTAGAGACTTCAATTTTCTTAGTATGCAGATTTTAAACTCTATAGCCCTTCTCACATTTGCCATAGCCAACAAAAATGCATTTGACAGCTGAATCATCTAACGTTGATCTCAGCTAACTAGGTACATGACAAAAGCATATAGAGCCAAATACCTTTAAATTTTTGACTCCTGGTTTCCTTCCACTAAAAGCTTCAAATGGGGTTGAACTTTCCAAAGCTCTTGTGGGACACCTGTTTTGAATATAGACAGCAGTATTCACTGCTTCTCCCCAAAACTTAAATGGAAGTCTCTTCTCATTCATCATTGCCTTGCTCATTTCAACAATAGTTCTGTTTTTTCTCTCAGTAACCTCATTTTGCTGAGGTGAGTAAGCCACAGGGAGCTACCTTTCCATGCCTACATCTTCACAAAACTTCAGAAATTCCAGTGAGGTATACTCTCCTCCTTTATCACTTCTAAGCCTTTTGATTTTGTAGCCACTTTGCAGTTCCACCATAGCCTTGAACTTCTTGAAAATAACCAAACACTTCAGACTTGTATTGCATGAAATACACCCAACACATTCTAGTGCAGTCATCAATAAAAGTCAAGAAGTATCTGTTTCCACCAATAGTTGTGGTCTGCATTGGTCCACAAACATCTGAGTGAATGAGTTCTAGTGGCTCACTTGCTCTCCAAGTCTTTTCTTTACCAAAAGATTCTTTATGTGCTTACCCCATTGCACAACCTTGGCAAATTCTCTCTGCACTCCCAATTTCTGGCAGTCCATAAACCATTTCTTGTTGTTGTAACAATCTCAAACTTTGCATATTGAGATGACCAAACCTCCTATGCCAACACCAAGTAGAGTCTTCAACTATTGCCTTCATAGCCACAGAGGTCACATATATCAATGAGAGTGGAAAGCATATATTTCCTGTCATTGGAACTTTAGCAACCAAGTTCTCCATTGAACTATCAGCAAATATCTCCACCATTGATTTTCCAAAAAACAGAAAATATCCATGTTCCACCATCTGACCAACACTGAGCAGATTTTCATCCAACCCTAGTACAAGCATGACTTCTTTAATATATCTAGGCCCAAATTTAGTGTCAATCACCAAAGTACCTTTCCTAGTGGCCTGCACCAAATCTCATGTGCCCATTTTTACCTTTTCAGTGACATTTGTATCAATATTAACCAGAAGTGATAAATGTGAGGTCATGTGATTGCTACAAGCACTATCCACATACCACACATCATTGTTTTGCACTACAGCAGCAGAATGACAGGCATAAAACATTGTACCTTCTTCCTCCTTATGTGTTGCATAGTTAGCTATCTGAGTTGGTTTGCCTCTGCAGTCCTTGGCTATATGACCAAACCTATCACATTTGTAGCATTTAGGCTTGTCTTTGAACCAACAAGCACCATAGTGCAGCTTGTCACAGGTTTTGCAAGGAACCTTTGCTCCTTCAGCTTGATTTTCCTTCTTGGAATTATTTTCAGACTTAGCATCCCCTTTCTTCCATTTCTGTGGTTTCCAGTTCTTCTTAGATTTTGAACATCCAGATTGACCTGTGTTTGATTGATCTCTAGGACTAACACTCAGACTAGAAAATGCATTTTCTGTCAATTTTTTCAGTGTGCCTTTGCAATCGTTGTTCATGTGATTTCAAAGAGCCTATAACTTCCTGAACACCTATATAGTCTCAACGTCCTTTGTTTCTTCTGTCACTTCAGCAATGGAATCATACTCTCTAGACAAACTAATCAAAAGTTTCTGCACAATCCTTCAATCAACAATCTCTTCACCATATGCTTTCATGTGATTTACTAACTCAAGCAACTTAGTTATATAATCAGACAAGGAATCATCCTCTTGCATACGAATGTATTCAAACTCCCTTATAAGTGCTTGAAGTTTTACAGATCTTACCTTCTTATCTCCTCTGAACTCTTGCTGTAAAATTTCCCATGCTTCTTTGGCCGATTCCTTCAATGTTATTCTGGGAAAAATATCATCAGAAACTGCATTTTGAATCAGTCCCAATGCCTTAGCATTCTTTGCAACATTCTCTTCCAATGCAAGCTTTTGAGCTGTAGTCAGAGCTTCACCATCCTCCTTCTTGACTAGTTGTTCATACCCATTTCCAACCATATCCTAAAGCTTGTGAGATTTGAAGATCGTACACATTTTTATTCTCTAGAAATCATAGTTGCTTCCATTGAAGATGGGAGCACGTAGCTCGCCCATTCCAAATCCAGCCATGTGAGACTATAGATAGAGATTATCTCAGCTAGATTGCTACGACTTCAAAATGCCCAATCTCATATCGAAACCTGGCTCTCGATACCATGATGAGATTTTGAAAATATGCAGAGCTTAGTTTCTAGAACAAAGGAAGAAAAATGGAGCTAAGAGAGGATAGAGAGTTCGTTGAGAGGAGAGAGAGTGTCTATTACTGCATAATGAATATAGCAATGCACACACACACTCTGATTTCATTCCAACAGAATTATCCCCTTTACACTGAATAGAAAAACATATTTAGCCTTACAAAATGTGTCAGCAATGTGAGCTGTACACTTGGCATAAATCTAGGACATATAAGTCCCCCAATATGATGGCATCTAAGCCTTACACTTGTCTAACTATGGATTAAACCAGAAAACAATTTATATTTCAACACTTATGTCATATGGTGGGTTGCTCCCGAGTCAACAACCCAGTTTGCATTGACTGGTCTAGACAGTGAAGGTGGTTTTTCATTGGCTGCAGCAACGTAGGCAAAGTTCCCACGTTGAGGACACACTCTAGATGTGTGACTGGGTTTGTCATATTGTTGGCAAATAACATCAAATTGGTAGTGTATTTGTGTTGGCGTCGGGAGAAGAGGCGGGCGATTGTCACTAGAGGGCAGGCATGATCCGTCACCATTGTGATTGGAGACCCAGCGACGGCTTCATTTGTTGTTTCTGTTTGAGCGCCATCCACCACCTCGACGTCCTCGTCCTTGCCCTCGATATCCATTGTACTAATGGGTATTGTTTGGTGGCCTTCGTTCGATGTTGAAGTGGGTTTGAGGATCGGTGGAAGAACGATGGGCAGCTAGAGCGACATCAGTTGACACCAAGACTGATGACATCTTGTTGATGAGTTGTTCCTCCTGAACAAGAAGATTATAGAATTCATCAAAAGAGAGTGAGGGATGGACATGTAGTGAAGTAGTGAATTCCTTGTACTCATGTCCGAGTCCGTCAAGTAGATATTCGATTAGTTCCTCATCCGTCATGGTTGAGTTAGTGGCAATGAGTGAATCAAAGAGACACTTTGCGAGCATCAAGTATTCAGTGATGGGTTTTTGCGAATATATATACGTCTCTTGAGTATTTTTCATCATAATCTACTGTTTGCAGGGCCGGCGAGAGGAGAACAAAGACCCAAAGCTGGGACTGGTATGATTTCAGAAACTCTTTACATGTTGTGGTCCTTGCTCAGGGCCGGCCCTAAGGTGGTGCAAGTGGCGTCACCACACACCTCCCCTGATTTTTGAGACTGTTTTATAATGCCAGATTAGCTCGTTTTTATTTATTTATAAAAACGTGCCATGCATAATGCTAAGTTAATAAATAGGTGTAAGAAATTCACACATGGACACGAAAGCTTCATTTTTTTCATGGATTGTTTGACTAAAAGTTGACAAGCAAGCTTGCTTAGTTTAGTTGTTATATTCTGGAAGGAAAAGTTGTTAAACTTTAATTCATTTCACTATAGCTTCTGTTTGTGGTATGTAGGGCGCAGGCGGGGCCGTTCATGCTATCATTTTGCTTGACATATTCCTCTTCCCGACTCGGGGGTTGTTCCTGGTAAGTTTGCTTCTATATGTCGGGTTGAATGGTTAAGGCTATTAAGCAAATCCTTGAAAACTTACCTCTCTTTGTTCCATTTTAGGGGATCTTTCTAATTGGGAAAGATATCTGGAGGATAATACTGGTATGTTGGTTATCTTCCTGTTTTCCCACATTTCTTTGTGTCTGTGTTCATTCATGGTTCATGTGTGGTTTTTACACTGGCCTTGAAACTGGAGATGGCACACAAGCTCGGCCCATAGGGCGTGCTGTGCGACCACACAAAGCCTCCATAAAAATGGGGCCTCATATTAAACCTTTTAGCCCAACAATTACAGAAGCAAGGCCTTTCTGGTGTGGGATTAATGTCTTTTGAGTTTTTCCCTAGAGTTTGGTTTTCAACCAATCAATGATTTTAGAGTCAGACCTTGTTTATTGTGCTTGCTTTTATTTTCTGCACGTATTATCCTTCAAGTGAGGTGACCTAGAGTTGGAAAACTGTCTCATTCTTCTACCTTAATTATTTTGAACTCTAGAACTGTCTTCCTGACGCCATCAAACCAATGTCATTGTGATTTTCTAGTAAATTTAGTGGTAACATTATTTTGTTATTGTAGGGAGACGAACAAATCTCAGGGGCTACACAATTGGGAGGTGCTGCAGTTGCAGCCTTGGCCTGGTCACAACTTCGAAAGGGGCGATTCTGAATTTCGTAACGGCGGATTACATACAGAACACTTTAAAACTAAGATGGTCCCGTTCCCCAAATATTGCTTGTATTTTATTTTATTTTTAAAGATAGTCCAGCATGGTAACTATTAGTCAGTGCGTTGCAGCTAGTTTTCTCCTGATTTAAACTCCCAGATCATCCCTTATCTCGGACCCCCGTTTACATTGGATGCCCACCTCAAATTTTCACAGCTGTTTGTTGTTCTGATCAAACAATATTACAGAAGTGAAAAATATTTATAAAGTTCAGAACTTTTAAACAAAATTTGAGGCCCAAATCCATTTCTATGGGCCCATATACGTGTGGACCGGAACCCATTCTGCTGAGAAATTGCTTGCTACAAACAAATCCATCCAATACAATTCACAAGGACAGGGCAAATAGAAAGTTAGAAACAAGAAAATGGGGAGTCTGAGATCAAGCGGAGCAACTTGTTCGTGATAAAAGGTCAAGGTATATATTTTGTGTTGAAGTCTAGTCTCTGTCTTGTAGTCATTGTTTGTTTGAGGCACCATGACAGCAGATACAGCTCTAGACGATAGAGATAGGTGAAGAAAGAAAATGGGATCGAAAGAAAGGAAATTATCACTTTTCAATTTCCATATGAATTGCTTTCATCTTAAATTTCACTATCATAGAGGAAAATAAATTGATAAGGATATCCATCAACTAAGGTATTTATGTCTAAATAATATAAGTACCATTTATCCCCTTATATTTATATACTTTAAAAAAAAAAAATTAGTTTGTACTTACTTGCCTGGCTACTAAATAAAGCAAGGGCGAAATCATTGTTAGAATAGGGTGGGCTACAGCCTAGTGCAATTTTTTGGAAAAATGAAAACTTGGTGTTAATTTTTATTCACCCCACTCGTTAGAAATTTGCCGCCCTACCCTAGAAAAAATTGACCTACTTCATCCGAAAAGCTCTTAAAAAAATGTATTGAGCCACCTACGCATTACAAAGGAAAAAGTAAATTTATAGTCGACTCGTTAGAAATTTTTTAGATCTGCCTTGGCTAGAGTACTAATGGGTAGATTTGAGCTTGAAATTCTTCTACGATACTAACTTGAATGAAATTGAATACAAATTGCAACGTTAACCTACTGATGAATTTATAAACTAGAAATTTCTGTGCACATATTGTTCTTGTTTGTATTTTTTTTTTTCCAGAACTTGTGTTTAACTCAACTGTTCCTTGATTATGACTCTTATAACCCTTCAACCCGGAAAGAGAGACTTGTGCCAAAAGGGTCCGGTGTACCATAAATTAATGTTGGAAAACCAGATAAACCCAATTCATGGTCGTGGGTCTTGACACTGATGCCCTTCTTACACCACTTGCTAAGTCCTAGTCATCGTTAAAGAAAGTATAATTTTATGGACCCAGCAATAGCATGATTGGTATGACCACAAGCTCTCAAATCCTCCAGATGTTAATGGGAAATCTTTTTTCATTTTGTTTTTTTTCCCCTTTTGAGGACAATCTCTCAATCTTTTCGATGAAGTTTTATCATCGCATATGTTATGAATATGTTTTCTCAATATTAAGCCTGAAAGTTATCACTATTGGTCGTAATCAGGGGCGGATCCACAGAGGAGCAAGGGTGGTCAATTGACCCCTGCAACCTCTGAAATCCTCCATTAGAGCCCTGCAAGTTGACCCTCCCAAGCTGTTCGACGAAATGCCACAATGGGGCAAATTCTGTGCAGGCTGGAGGTGTTTGCGCAGCGCAGGCTTGCGCGCAGCGCGCGCGTCATTTTTTTTTGTTCGCTCGACGTCAAAACGACGTCGTTACACTTATTTTTTTTTTTTGCGCTGGACATCAAAACGACGTCGTTCCACTTAACTTTTTTTTTTTTTAAAACACCTGGCCAAAACGACGTCGTTTTGGCACAGGTTTAAAAAAAAAAAAAATAACACAGCATCTGTTCGATAATTCCCTTTCCCCAATCAGTTTTAGTTCATTTCTAACTTCTCAATTCAAGTTCTCAACCCTAAATTCCCAACCCCAACTAAAACAACCAACCTCCAATTCAACGGTGGCTTCTCCTCCCCCTACAAATCCGGCGGCGGCGGCAGCAAAGTGGCGGCGGTGGGCAGCAGAAAATTGAATAGCTCTTGTCCCCCAAATTCAATTTGATTTCAAAGTTGGATTGGATTTGTCTCTCAAATTTGAAAGTATGTTATCTTAATTTATTTATGCTTTAATAATTAGTAAAGATTCTTATATTCTTGATTAGTTGTTGTTGTTTGTTGTTGAGATTTGATTTTCGTTTGTTAGTTTGAATAAATTATGGCTATACTTTTATGTTAGTTTGAATAAATTAGGGGTTTTGATTTTGGTTAGTTAGTTTGAATAAAATAGTGTTTTATGTTAGCTAGATTATATTTGGTAAATTTGATTGGTTGTTGGGATTTTTTTTTTTTTTGGGTTACTTTTCATAAGTATGAGTTTTTATTATATTGGTTATTTCTACCAATACAGTTATGGAACGCTATTTTAAGAGAAGGTTTGCATCAACTACTTCTAGTTCGGATAATGTGGGTAGTTCGAGTTCGAGAGATGTGGATATTTCAAGAGATGTGGATGTTTCAAGAGATGTGGATAGTTCGAAAGAAAGTGAGTTGCAAGATATCTTGGCTAATCTTATTGCAGACCCCGGACTTCGGCCTCAAATGTTAGACTATGATCCTAATATTAGAGACGAAGTTCGAAGAGCATATCTACAAAAAGGTCCATGTCAGCCTAAGGATCATACATTTCCACAAACTGATCTTTCAGGGTATGATCGACGCTTTAATGTCAAGTGGTTTGATGAGTTTGACTGGTTGGAGTACAGTATTAGTAAAGATGCTGCATTTTGCCTTTATTGTTATCTCTTCAAATCCAATTTCAGAATTGGTCAAGGGTGTAGCGACGCCTTCACAGAAATGGGTTTTAGGAATTGGAAGAAGAAAGAGAAGATTAGGCAACATGTTGGGCATGTTGGAAGTGTTCATAATCAATCTAGACAATATTGTGTGGATCTTATGAATCAAAAGTTTTGTAGTTGGCACTGAGCATTTCATTCATAACATGATTGGACTATGTGTTTTTGGGGCGCATGTAAGCTGATTTTCTCATAAGCTTTTTCTTTTTCTAATAATATTCTTTTGGTACTGTGAGGTATTAAATTTTATTTTGACATATCTTTTAGTTGGACAATATATATTGAATTTGATCTCTTCCATGATTTTATATGAAGTCGTATATATATTCAATCAGTTTTTATTATATCTTCCTCTATTTTTTGGTGCACTGACCAGATTGAAATCCTCGTCCTTGCCCTCGATATCCATTGTACTAATGGGTATTGTTTGGTGGCCTTCGTTCGATGTTGAAGTGGGTTTGAGGATCGGTGGAAGAACGATCGGCAGCTAGAGCGACATCAGTTGACACCAAGACTGATCACATCTTGTTGATGAGTTGTTCCTCCTGAACAAGAAGATTATAGAATTCATCAAAAGAGAGTGAGGGATGGACATGTAGTGAAGTAGTGAATTCCTTGTACTCATGTCCGAGTCCGTCAAGTAGATATTCGATTAGTTCCTCATCCGTCACGGTTGAGTTAGTGGCAATGAGTGAATCAAAGAGACACTTTGCGAGCATCAAGTATTCAGTGATGGGTTTTTGCGAATATATATACGTCTCTTGAGTATTTTTCATCATAATCTACTGTTTGCAGGGCCGGCTAGAGGAGAACAAAGACCCAAACAAGCTGGGACTGGTATGATTTCAGACACTCTTTACATGCTGTGGTCCATGTTCAGGGCCGGCCCTGGAGTGGTGCAAGTGGCATCATACCACACACAGCCCCTGATTTTTGAGACTGTTTTATAATGCCAAATTAGCTCGTTTTTATTTATTTATAAAAACGTGCCATGCATAATGCTAAGTTAATAAATAGGTGTAAGAAATTCACACATGGACACGAAAGCTTCTTAGTTTAGTTGAAATGGATATGGATTGTTTGACTAAAAGTTGACAAGCAAGCTTGCTTAGTTTAGTTGTTATATTCTGGAAGGAAAAGTTGTTAAACTTTAATTCATTTCACTATAGCTTCTGTTTGTGGTATGTAGGGAGCAGGCGGGGCCGTTAATGCTATCATTTTGCTTGACATATTCCTCTTCCCAAAATCCATCTCGACTCGGGGATTCTCAAAACAGTTGTTCCTGGTAAGTTTGCTTCTATATGTAGGAAATTTATTCAAAAATTGAATAATTAGCTCCACAAAAACATGAGCCATCACCAACCTCTCTCAAAAGTTTTCATTGGTTGGTTAGACTCCCATCTTTTTTGAACTCTTTTTCTATACATGGTTGTTGAGCTTTATCTCTGCCCTCAATTTGAGGCTTACTGGATATGGCAAATAATAGGTATCAAAGTTGTGGGACTTATCCAATCCCACGTTTGAAAATTTTTTGTGAATTTTTTTGTATTTCAACACTGACATTTGTTAAAGTTGAAAGTAAATTTTGGGGATTTTTGATAAAAACTCATTTTTCTTCATGCTTTTCACATTTCCATTGATCTCAGGTGGTGAGGGACTGAGGGTACCTTCTCTAAGAAAAAAAATGGGAACTTCCCCAAGAACCCCCCAAAGAGCGCTTTCATAAAAATATAAAAAATGCAGAGGCTCGTTTCTTTGAAACTGGCCTCAAACTTCCCCAAAAAGCTCTCTAACTCATCCACCACCACCACCACTACTACCTCTTCAATCTTCCACTTTCAACCACACAAAACTGTTTCTCTAACCAAACCACCCCAAACCCTAACCCAAAACCACTTCTTTAGCTCCTTCCCAGCACACTGGCTTCACCGTCTTCCTCATTCATGGAGGTTGCAGCACACTCTCACACAAAAGATTCATGGGTTGCTCTCCAACCCATTACTCAAACGGCAATTTTTGGTGGATTTCTCAAATACCCTTTTGAGAGCCTCAAGCAAAAGTCTTTCAGATTTCAGGCTTGGCTTTCTCAGAGTCCAATTTTCCAGACAGGGTTCTAAGTTCCAGTTCAACCCAAAGTTTACTTCTCCTCGGAGTGTGTGTCGGGTAATGGTTTTGTTTTCTGTTCATTGTCGAAGTTATCTGTTTGGTTATGAAAATGAAGGAAAAGCTAGTGAATTCAATAACGAACTCCTAGAAGAATGAATTCTCCACATAGTTTAAGCCATGTATCCATCAGAACAAATTCTATAATTCGAGGTTTACGCTTCTCCAAGGCATAATGAAGAGCATTTCGACGTTTTTGGTCGACCACTTCGCAACAATCAGGACAATAGGAAATAAGTTGTTTCATTACATTAACATGGCCTTTGGAGGCTGCAATGTGAAGAGCGGTCTTCTTATCAGCTTCGTTTTCTTTTCCTTTCATTATCGTGGAATTCCTGGTTCCAATGTTTGAAATTTCCTTTTGGCGTATCTGCAAGGTTGATTTTGATTTGACCAATTGTGATTGGTTGGGACAGAAAAGGACAACACGTATCCAATTGCGATTGGCTGGCCGTACATATATTTCTATTTACGTGCCCATTGCTTGCTTTGCTTCATCGCAAAAGCTCTCTTGCCATTTTATTTTGCAAACTTCTTCTGCCCGCATAATACCAAAATGCAGTCTACTATTCCAGTAACATTTGAAGAAGGACTTTTGTTAATTGTTATTTAGGAAATGAAGAACAAATTTGCTTGTGCAAAGTACTAGTTGTCATAACATGAGTAGGCGGAATAGGTCGGGCCTAATGCCTTCTTATGTGAAAAATTACCTTTAGACAATTGTTTATATTAAAAATTGTCTTTATATTATTTGGGTTATAGAACATATAATAAAGGTGTTTTGTGAGATTAGAGAGATGTTACTCTTTTTTTGGTCAATAGAAGAGATTTTACGTTACTTGAGGACATTTGCTCATTTTCTCACCTATGAATTAAGTATTAATTTGAAAATTAGTCATTTTATTATTGAAGGAAAACATATGGACAAGAAAAAATTATTAATTCCGTCTCTTGATTAAAGAAAGCAGAAAACCCAGGATCCACTTTGTATGCTCCTATCCTATGCACCCCAAGTTTCCTGTCTCATTTTGTATGCAAGTTAATTATTTTCTGTCAGTAAAACCTAGTTTCCTCCTCTTCGCAGGAGATCATGGCTCCGAAGGGTATCAGAGGGTGAGGTCACTGTCGGGGTTTGGGGATTGATTATAGCTAATGCTGCGGTGTTGTTGTTATGGGAGATTGCAGATATTGCCTTCATGGTGAAGAATTTTGTTGTGAGTCCCTCAGTTTTGAATTGGCTAAGTATTGTCAACTTGTCTTCATGGCTCTCTCTCTCTCTCTCGTTCAGAAATAAGAGAATTTAAGTAACCCTAAACTAAAGAAAAAAGAGTCAAGGAAGCAAAATGTCGACTAGCTGTTTTTTTCGTTTTTCACTGATCATTTCCTAACTTGTCGATTTTCTCTAACCAGAATGCATTAATCAATGTTAGACATGGACGTCTTCACACATTGATAACTTCTGCCTTCAGTCATTTCGACACTGAGCGTTTCATTCATAACATGATTGGACTATATGTTTTTGGGGCGCATGTAAGCTGATTTTTTTCAGAAGCTTTTTTTTCTTTCTAATAATATTCTTTTGGCACTGTGAGGTATTAAATTTTATTTTGACATATCTTTTAGTTGGACCTTGAATTTGATCTCTTCCATGATTTTATATGAAGTCGTATATATATTCAATCAGTTTCTATTATATCTTTCTCTATTTTTTGGTGCACTGACCAGATTGAAAGAATTTTTGGGCCTCAATTTTTGCTGAAGTTGTATCTAGATGGGGCTCTTGGTGGCTCGGTCTTTTTCTTGTTGCACGAAACCTACCTGGCTGTGTCATCGATGGTAAAATGATACTCAGCTTATGTTCAAGGATAACGTCTCTTGAGTATTTTTCATCATAATCTACTGTTTGCAGGGCCGGCGAAAGGAGAACAAAGACACAAAGCTGGGACTGGTATGATTTCAGAAACTCTTTACATGTTGTGGTCCTTGCTCAGGGCCGGCCATGTGGCGTCACCACACAGAGACCATGATTTTTGAGACTGTTTTATAATATGCAGATTAGCTCCTTTTTATTTATTTATAAAAGTGCCATGCATAATGCTAAGTTAATAAATAAGTGTAAGAAATTCACACATGGACACGAAAGCTTCTTAGTTTAGTTGACACATGGATATGGATTGTTTGACTAAAAGTTGACAAGCAAGCTTACTTAGTTTAGTTGTTTTATTCTGGGAGGAAAAGTTGTTAAACTTTGATTCATTTCACCATATAGCTCCTGTTTGTGGTATGTAGGGCGCAGACGGGGCCGTTAATGCTATCATTTTGCTTTACATATTCCTCTTCCCAAAATCCATCTCGACTCGGGGGTTGTTCCTGGTAAGTTTGCTTCTATATGTCGGGTTGAATGGTTGAGGCTATTAAGCAAATCCTTGAAAACTTACCTCTCTTTGTTCCATTTTAGGGGATCTTTCTAATTGGGACAGATATCTGCAGGCTAATACTGGTATGTTGGTTATCTTCCTGTTTTCCCACATTTCTTTGTGTCTGTGTTCATTCATGGTTCATGTGTGGTTTTTACATTGGCTTGCTTTTATTGTGCTTGCTTTTATTTTCTGCACATATTATCCTTCAAGTGAGGTAACCTAGAGTTGGAACCCTGTGCCAGGCAGAGGACAAAACGGTCTCATTCTTCTACCTTAATTATTTTGTACTCTAGAATTGTCTTCCTGACGCCATCAAACCAATGTCATTGTGATTTTCTAATAAATTTAGTGGTAACATTATTTTGTTTTTGCAGGGAGACGAAACAATCTCAGGGGCTACACAATTGGGAGGTGTTGCAGTTGCAGCCTTTGCCTGGACACGACTTCGAAAGGGGCGATTCTGAATTTCGTAATGGTAGATTACATACAGAACACTTGGCCAGTTT